ACGGAACTACCCCCCCCCACCCTTTCCCCAACCTATCTATGATAAATTTTAAATAGAACGGTAGTGCCTAGGGGGGGGCGCCTACTACTACTACTACTACTACTATTACTACTACTACTACTACTACTATTGCTACTACTACTACTACTACTACTACTACTACTTTTTTTCTTCTTCTACTCCTACTCCAGCTGCTACTACTACCACTACAAATACCACCGTTGAGAAAAATCGCTCAACAAGGCATGCTGATGTTTGCAAGAAAAGCGAACCCAAAAACATAAAGTTGGAACGTCGATGTTCTAATGTAGCAGGGAGTTCATATCATACTTTGCAACGGCGGCGTTGGTTTTCGCAACACATCGAACAGCAAATCGCCAATGTTATGTCTGCGTTTGTCTATGGATTCTGAATTGTCGGTATTGCTTTCGTTCCATTTTTCTCGAGCTCCGACCAGTTTGTTTCATCGATAATCAACCACATATTTTATCTTGTGACTGGGGGCAGAAAACAACCTATGCATGCTCACGCCAAAGAAAAAACATTTCACAACTCTCTAGAGAACTCAAATTATCATACCTCCATTTTTCGTTGTCTGCATAGAAGCCAAAGTTGACATTCACAGTTTTCCCACAAAAACGCAGACTTGACTTCAAACAGAAAGGAAGCTTTTCATGTCATTTTGCTACAAAATTTCGATTGGTTTTAGCATCTCTAACCACACGTGGTAAGTAATTTTGTTAGAACCAATCAAGCATCAGCAGTCATGAATTTTGGCTTGAAACGTTCTTGCAGGCGCTTCAATACAGCGTTTTGGCAGAAGTAGCATATGAACAGCATAGTCGTCTTGTTTGGAAAAGCTTTATGCCCAGAAAAATGTAAATTGCATTTTTCAGTGGTGTTTTAAAGACATCCTTCCTCTCACCAAGAAACATATGCACAGAATCAACGATGTAAAACTTCCTTTTGAACGGACTATGCAAAGTGGAGACAAGCCAACCGTTCACGCCCCTTTGATTTGACATTCGTAAGTTGAAGTTTGACATGATGAGGACTGTCCAGACGGATCTCTGCAATGGGTGTTTCGCTTTGCTACAGAATAGAATTTCGATTGAGGTAGAAAGCTTTACTTGCCAGAGACCACAGTGCGCCTATTCCATTCAGAATTTTGGTCCACGGCAATTAAGCAAAGTTCAATAAGTCACAGGAACATGAATGGAGATCTAAGACGTACAAGGCAGGCGCCAATCTGCAGAGGAGCGTGCGTAGCAAAAAAAATTGTTGTGTTGATCAAATTAACATGTAAGAAAAAATCTTGCAACCTGATTCCATCAAAGGTGCAGCCTTGCCGAGGTCTTTTTCCGGAGAAAAAAAGGGATTCTTACAGGCTTAAACTGCCCGCTGACCACATCATCAGACGCAAACCTCAAGCCGAGTCCAGTCGCCATGGGGTTGCATCCATCTTTGGAATCATCAATCCGTTAAAGAGTCTTCCTTCCACAAGTACGGGCACTGCAGTGGTCTCTGGAATGCAATAGAGTTGAGAAACAGGCTGGTTGCATTTTGTTTTTCGGATGCCATGGTTGAGAGAGGAAAAAAAACCACAAAGCATTCAATTAGACTTCAAGTGGGGGAATGGAACCTGTATGCCAAGGTCCAATGACAAGACAGTATTTTCAAATAGTCGTGACAAAGAAGTGGAATCCATTGAAATGAAGCACATGCTCTGATTGGTGCAGCGTGCTTTCTAGTGTCAAGCACCCACCTTGGCACCTGGTAGTGCCCTGCCCACATGCATTGCTATTGGAGTTTGGGTGGCTTGCAAGAGTCGAAGCAGTCATGTCCAAAATCGTCAATTCAATAGTGTAAAGTGCTTTGTATGCAAGTGTTAATTCGCAGAGTCAAGTAGGGCAAACAGTTTAATCATTAGATATACATCGCTTCCCGATTCGAATGGCGCCAAAAAAACGCGATTCAAGGCCAATGGATGATGACTATTTGTGGTGCTCATGTGATTGTTCACTATTGTGCCATGCTTTGCATGACATGACCAACTGGCCCCTGGTGCAGATCGACGCAGTCAGATGGTGCAAAACGATCTGCTGCAGGCGGAGTTCTGCCTCCTGCGTTTATTATCTATGATTTTGTAATTGTACATTTTTGCATGCAAACCGAGATCGGGATTGCCACTCTGCATGTGTGATGCTGTTCAGAATCGCCATCCAAGAAGCGGTTCAAGCTTGGTGCCCCTGCGAAGTTCTCGGTCGGGTGAATTCCAACATCAACCCCAAATTGGAAACTTTTCTGCCAAGGTGGCAGGTGCAATTGACCTTGATGAGGCTGGGCTGTTTCTGCGCGTAAGTCCTGTTAATGCTGCTGCTCCTGTTTCGGCTGGTTTCAGGCACCAAGCTGCTTCTACAAAGTTGATGAGTTTGCATGTTTGTTTTTGAAAGCTTTTGCTGATATTAAGTTTTTGTGTGTGGTGTTCTGGCAGTAATTTTGGCCGTTCAAACTAAGCCACGCTCCAGGTTCGGTAGGTGTTTGCAAGAGTCTCGGACACTCATACACATCGGCCAGAGTTCGCATGATCTTGGATCATTCGGTTGAGAAGATTGCCAAGGTTCGTAGCGCCATTGCAGTAATTACAACGACGTGCCAACATGAGCTGCACGTTGCGCGTGTGACAAGGCTAGTTTGGATTGGTATGCCATAGACGATCTATGCTTGCAGGATGAAACGCCTCCAAGCAAGGTGCCCTCGTTTTTGGCGATGGTGCAAAATGCTACAGTGCACGAAGCCGTGATGCTCAGGGCCGATCAAGCTCCAGCGCTGGAGCAGCAACAAGGTGGGCACTGATGGTTCACGCCCACGTGAGGGTCACGCTAGCTTTGGTGCAGGTCAGGTCCTGCAAGCAAAGCAGCTGCCAAACCCGCCCCCAAGGTACGAGAGTTCTGCAATGTTACTTGCAACCACAGGCAAGCACTACATGCTCCCGTGGCAGGCAGGGAAGAAGACGGAGCCACACCAGCTCCCGCAAGCCATTCAAACACGTTTTTTCAGCAAACCTTTGGGACATTTTGGGGTTCTCATGCTTTCATGACGTTTTTCGACTTCATGGCCCGCAGCTGTTTAAGTCCCCAGTGCTTCGCAGCCCTCGTTCATGTTAAAGGGGTTGCCAGAAAGGTTGTGGACTGGTGTAGCAAGACTCCGAGCACCATCGTCGAGACCTTGATGAGCACAATAAGTCCAATAACTTTTGGACTTGGAAGCATCAAGCTGGTCGAGCGTTGCCCACCAGATAGCTTTACGCACGCTTTGTCGGGCGCCTTTAAAAGAAGTTATTTGTTTGCCATGGCCCTTGCGCAGGATTCCAGGCTTGTATTTGTCGTTGCCATACGTGAACGGGTAAAGTTTCAGCAGTGAGCTCTGACATAGCTGCAAGATGGGTGCAGATTCGAGGAGGAGAGACGGTGATTGGAGTTGGTGGCCCGTTATTGAGGTTGCGGGATGGGCTTCTGCTGGATTGCTTCTCTTGATGGCGGTGGTTGTGGTGATCATATTTCTCGTCCGGCGGAGGCAGCAGTCATACGAAGCGCGGACGGCTCGTGCCCTGCTAGGCGTCTCCTCTAGACCTCGTGGAGAGCAGACACCTAGCACATCGGTTCCTGGCAGCTGCATCAGCAGCATGTCTGGAAGTGATGCTTTGACAGGGTTCGAGGTGAGCCACCCTTGGAACATGCCATCCTTGGCAAAGAGTCCTAGCGTGCCTTGCTGCATTCGGTTCGTGTATCCAATCTTCACACTGCTGTGCTGCGGGCTCTTCATCCTGGCGGACCTTTCGGAGACCGCTCATGTGAACGTGAAGCTCCTGGTGGCAGGGGCGCCTCATCATGCTGATTGGGAGTGGTCAGGGACCATGGCATCGCTCACGCTCCTCCGTGCAGCAAGGGATGCATGGCAGGCGGGTGCTAAACTGACAGCTATTGTTTTGGGCCTGCTGAACGGGTTTTGGCCGTTTCTCCAGACTGTGGTGCTACTGCCCCTTGGCAGTGATCATGCGTCCGTGTGGGCCAGAGACCAAGGCAGGAGATGCGAGTGCCAAGCATCGCTGAGGACTGTCTGGTTTCTGCCTGGCTGGTGCCTGTCCCCATCAAGCCGAGGTGGGGGCACCATGGCTCTGCATGACTCTAGACCTTCCGGTGTCTAGGTTCCTTCCTCCGTCTCTTCGCAGCTCTTGGGAAATGCGGTGCTGACCTCACTGGCTTGAGCTTTGTGGTTGCGTCCATTTCTGGGGTGATCAGACTGCGATAAGGTCTTTCTTTTCCATGGCTCGTATCCATTTGGGCCGCGCTCTGTCAGCTCCAGTGGCGAGGGCACCAAGTGGGATGCCAAGATGGATGTTTCAGAGCGGGTGAATTCTACAAGGGTCAGATGCAAGGTGTCCGCTGACTTTAGCATGTCGTTGGCCAGCACCCTACATGGCAGTCGAGGGTCCCGTTGTTGCGTTGCGATGGCTACACTTTGTCAGGAGACGGGGCTGTTTCTCTTCCTGGGTGCCGCCATCCTGACCAACGTGTTGGGGTGCTCTGACAATCAGCTGGCTTACCACATTGGCTTACCAACTGGATGCTCTGAACATACTATAGTAGTTTCCATTTTATTTTCCATTATCCCTATATAGCCCCAACATACTATAGTAGCTTCCATTTTATTTTCCATTATCCTTATATAACCCCAATATACTATGATGGGGCCGCCAGGTATGCGGCTGACCATTACCACTACCTGTCGACAAGCATGCCACTGTCGGCTCCGCCGTGGAGCCGCGCTGGGAGATGCATGGGTGGGTGCGGCCCGCCCAGATTATATAGGGGTTATGGGTTACAAAGGGATTATAGGGTTCATATTGGGGTTATATAGGGATAATGGAAAAGAAAATGGAAACTACAATAATGGGTTATATATTGATCAGCACATTGAAGTCCCGCTCCTTTATGTCCTAAGCCAGGTACAACCCGCCTCTCAAGGCCTATTCTCAGTACAGCTGCTTGGGCTAGATCTGGCAGTTGCAATTGCATTTTGCGATGTCTGAAGCCTCTGCAAGTTCAGTGTTTTTCGAGCTCAGGACACTGGCCCACTATTCTCTGTCCACTGGTTGCTGCGCAAGCCTCAGTTTCAGATTCTTGCCGGAGACTCCTGAACTGTTGCAAGTAGCTCGGGCATGGAGGTGGCAACTGCAGGCTCTGCTTACATCACCGCGCCACTTGTCTCGTTCTCTTTTTCAAGTCATTTGGGCTGCTGCCCGTGCAGAGCTTGGCATCAGACTCTGGCCCTCAGGTTCTCCGTGCGGCTCACAGGCTCTCTTCACAGCTTGCAGCGTCTGACTTGGCTGTCTCCTAACCGTGATTTGCGAGAAGGTTCAAAGTCGCCTGTGATGATAAATGCAGATGGGAAGGCCTTAGATTTGCTTGTCATTGGACAAAACAGACAGCATCGTCTCCCCAAGGCTCGGTTAGAGTATGTCAAGAGCTACAGCCTCCTTTCCTTTGGCCTTCAGGCTCATGTTCCATAAGATTTTATGTTTGGTTTTGGCCTCGTGACTGTGCTCCATGGCAGTTTCCAGAAGTTTCCGAAGAAGAAGTAGGCTCCAGGCGGGGCCTTCTGTAAGCACAGCAGTTGCAGTCAGACAGCGGTGTTCGCGTGGAGAGAGTTCTTGAGCAGCGTCGTTTGTTTGACAGGCTTCTGCAGGTGACCTTCTTAATCACATCCCTGGCTGCTCCACTGCTTCTTGCAGGCCCCTCTTTGACCTGCTAAAGTTTACACGCTTTCTTGCAGAAGATTGTGTCTCAGGTGTCCTGTGGGCCGCACCTCGTCATTTGAAAGACTCCAGGTTGGCCACGGTTGGCCCATGCCTTTGTTTTAGCAGAGGTATGGATCTTGCCGATGCAGCCGAAGACGCAGAATGCTTTGCTAAAGTGACCTGGGTCGCAATCAGATCCACGAACAATGAGATGATTCCACTCTGCGCAGCAGGTTGGGTTATGCGCTGGACGCTTGGGTGGCGCTGGACGTGCCACCGTCACACTTGAGTTCTGCTGCAAGTATGCGCCTAGTCTTCTTCACGCTGCAGGTGTTTGTGGTTGTCATTGCTATTGCTGCCCTCGACTTTGGAAAGATGACGACGTTCTCCCAGCTCATTTTGCGCGTTAGAGTCGCGAGAACTGGAGGGCGGTGTTTGTGCAATTACCAGCTCTGCTTCCAGGTACGCTGCTCATGAGGGGGCCATGCTTGAAGCATGCAGCTGGATGGAGAGGCCGCTGCAGAATCTCATGAACTTTGGCATTGCGTGATTTTCATCAGGGAGCTCTCTCGAGAAGCCTGTGTGGGTGCTAACGTCACGCTGGAGAAAGGCTGGCGCATTGTGTGCAGCCTGTTCGGATTCAGATTTCGCTGTACTCATAGCTGGGCAGGATTTGGACTACTGGCAGCTTCCGCCACTGCACTTTTGATCGTGCCAAAGGCTCGCAAGAGGTGGTCCTAGAGCGAGTCCGTTTAGCAGAATGGAAGAAAGGTGGTGCTCCAAGCGTGCAGCAAAGCATCTAAGCAGAGAGACGAGGACGGGACTTGCTGAGCGGTTGGCACTCTGTCACATATGTTGCTGACCAGTTGAGCGGCAGAGCCCGTGCGTCGTCAGCCTTGGCGGCAGCTTCTCTGACAGCAGGCCATGGAACTGCCGTCACAAACAACACAGTTCTGTTAAGTTCTATTCACGTGGCAAAAAGTAAGCAACTCGTGCTTGCCTGGAAGAGCTTGTTGCGTGGACCTGGCAGATCCTTTGCCTCTTCGAGGGCCACTTTGAACAGCCTGAGCAAGCCTGAGCAACGCCAATCACAGGGGATGAATGTGGGTGCCCATGAGGCTTGCAGCAAAAAGGCTCGCCAGTGCAGCAGACCTGTTAGAGTAGGCGAAGATTCGCGTTGTGAAGCACCGTTTGCATTTTGGGGGGTGGACTCGTAGAAGAGGTCGCATGTAGGGTATATGATTAGGGGTGTGTTGCAAGACTAGTGCGCAAGAGGGGCTCCCCCCAAAAATTATTTCTGGAAATTATCCTATCCCTACATCCTAGACCCTATACCTTTAACTCTAAACTGTATCCCCTAAACCCTAAACCCTCTTCGCTTCTTCCTTGGCCAGGTCAATGATGCCAAGCCTGGCCTTCCCTTGGAAGGCCGAGATGTGGGCTATAGTTAAAGGTCCTTAAAGGTGGGGAGGTTCAGTTCTTTTCTTCTCGAGGAGGCCGGTTTTTGTTTTGGCTATGTAAAGTTTATACGCTGTCTTGCTTCACCTAACACTCCGAAGGTGCCCTGTGTCGCATTTGTAGCCTGTTTGCTGCTAGCAGCGTGGGTATATGTTTAGACAATTTGGTGCATGTATCATTGCCTTATGCAATCACTCGGTTTATCGTGTCTGCAACATCAAGTTCTCGGAGTTTGGGTTTACATGTTCCTCTTGCAGCCAGAAATGGTAGTTTCCCAAAATGGGGGAACCCAATTTCTACCCCCAACTACTATATTTCTTATTATTGGGACCCCCAAAATGGTACCCCTATTTTTCTAAGACAATTTGTACTGCTGCCTCGAGCTCCCCCCAAAATGTGGGACTATCTCAGACTATCTCAGGAGCATGTCATGCTGAGGTAGGCTAGGGGTGGCTGCCGGGAGACCAAAATTGCAGCCGTTCTAAGGGGAAATTACAACTCCCCCCAATGGACCCCGCACTATATCGCACTATATCGCATTATCGAAAGCTTATGTCGGGGCTATCTCTGGCAGCCCAGAACTGTTGCCGTTCTAAGGGGAAATTACAACTCCCCCCAAAACCCCGCACTTTATCGCACTATATCGATACTATCTCAGGTAGAGTATTTGGAGAGCTTTCTTACGATCTGGTGCTATATACCCGAATATACCCTTTATATCTACACTACTAAATCACCACTATCTCCCCACTATCTCCCCATTATATCTGCCTGTATAGGGAGATATAGGCACGGAAACTGCCAGGAGTTGTTGGGGGGAGTAGCAACTGTCTTAGAAATTTTGAGAAACCCTAAACCCTAAATAGTAGTATCCATTTTCTTTTCCATTATCCCAATATAACCCAATATAACCCAAATATCCTCTGTGAGGCATCACCCTGGTTTTCACGGGCGAAATGGAGGCCATCACCCGCCCAGAGGCTGAGGAGAAAGCCAAGGCGGCAGGCGCAAAGGCGGGGCCAAAGAAGTCTATGACGGTCATTTCAGTAGTATTTTTATTTGGGGGTAATATGGTACCCAATATAGAGTAATTATGTTATGAAGATCATTTGAGCTATCGTCTAAAGTCCTTAAAGTGGGTTATAGTATGGGAATCTATAGTGGGGTATACTAGGAGTTTAGACAATAGCTCATTTCACTAGGACCATGTACTAGCCATGATGGACACTTATTTGCCAGTTGTTAAGGCGTACTGTGCAGATTTTTTTGGACAGTGCTGCTGCCAGTCCTGAATCAATGTTAACAGGATGACCCCATTCTTTCACTCGGGAAATTTGAAGCACTTCAACATTTGTTTTGAAAATGGTTGCCGCACTAGTAGTCAGATTGAAGGACATTTCTCCTGCAGGTGATGTCAGGAGTTTCCGGAAACGTGCAGTACTTGGTGGTGCGGGCCTCATAGCAAGAAAGCGATTTCGAGCAATAATTTGCCCAGAACTGGAAGCACCGTAGAATATGACATTTAAATGTGGCATGAGTCAGCAGAGGCGGGCGCCCGATTGGAAGATGGCCGCACGGTCGAAGAGACCGTCAAGCATCCTTGGCTGTTTCGGTCTTTTGCAGCCAATGCCAGCAACACCAAGGTTTTCCCTGGAGTTTTGTTTTGGATACGTTCTGTCATGTGGATTGACATAGCAGGACCCAAAGTGTAATGCTTGGCTAGCAACCTGAATTCTCAGGTACAGGAAAATGCTGGAGCTCAAGGAAAAGGGGAAGAAGCATCCTGCTGTGCTGACAGAGGCCTGAAGGTTCTCAGTCTTGCTTCGAAGCGCACGTAGCTGTAGATATCAAGCTTGCCAGTAGGAATCGAAGCAGCCGTGATCTCATTGATTCTAGTGTTGACACTCTGCTTCTACGATTCAGGGTCTTCAGACTTAAGCCTCAAACTTCAAACATGGTTTTCCCATATCATCCATAATCTAAACTCCTTAAAGGGTGGTTATATAAGGGATTATATAGGGGAGCATTATGGGGGTTATCAAGGGGGATATTAGGAGTTTAGACTATGGCTTTTTTTACCACAGGTGGTCTGCCCTTCACCCGGAGCTCCTCTCCGCTGTTAGCGCAGGCGCAGTTCCTGGCCCTTCTGCCAGGGGCGGACGCCTTGGCAGCTCTTCCCACGCCAGGTGCTTAGCTGCCCTCACCCCGCGCCATTCTTGACAGTTTCGTAAAATGGCTTTTCTGTTCTGTTGATAAACTTGCTATGTCTGTACGGCCACATGAGGGACTCTGGCTTGGGGAAATGCCTTCAGCTCAAGCAGAATCTTCCAAACATGGTCGATTCAATTGGGACATAGCTTTTGGGACTCTCAGTCTGAAACTGCAACCAACTCCAAGCTCATTACCAATATTATGATAATAATGGAGATTCGGATAGGAAGAAGATGTAAAAAAGAGACAAGGTTCATATAGGAGTCTGTATTGCATATCTGCTGTTAAAGTGACGATCCATCCTCGGGCCTTCAAAGCCTAGAAGAGTTTTGAGATGTCGGGTGCAATGCGTCCTGTAGGTAATTTAGGCACAAGCATGCCTTGACTCTGCAAAACAATCGAAGCCAGATAAAGACATATAAAGACTGCAAGGAGCTAGACTTTCAGTGGAATCGGACTCCTTCTTCAACTTCCAAGCTGAGTGGTTGAATGGACCATCGGGCAAACTATGGGTTGCCTTGTCCCCTTTTCAGAGACAGAGCGGAGTTGTGCTGACTGTCAGCCTGTTGAGAATCAGGGAATCAGGAAAGACCAGTTTGCAAGTTTGTAACTGAATGCGCAGTTTGCAACTGAAGCACCGCGAGGTTTGAAGCACCGAAGGTGCCTAATACAGGCCTGCTTCCCGGATTCATTGCGCTTTCCTGGCTGGTGCCGAGAGCTGCCATAAACAGCATGATAACATGCTAGCATTCCACATAGCATTCATAGCAGGAAAATCAAGGGTAGGCTCGCACGTTTTTGGTGGCGGAGGGTTTATGGGCTGCCTGAAGGCCCCATTCACCAAAACTGGGTCGACCATTTCGCCCCAAAGTCCCTCGACCAGCTCGTGGGCAATGCCAGCGCAGTCAGGCAAGCTTCGTTTGCAATGCCTTCCTAGTATTGTGCCTATTGTTCATTTACTACTACTACTACTACTACTGCTGCTACTACTACTACTACTGATACTACTGCTACTACTACTGCTACTACTACTACTACTCCTGCTGCTACTGCTACAGCCACTGCCACTGCCACTGCCACTG